GACAACGAAAACACTTTGAAAACGAGTTTTTGATAACCAGACATTGAACAACCGGCCCTTAGGTCCGGTTACTCAATGTCTGGTTAACACTAATCTCCTGTAAAACATCGTTATCGACGTCGATAATGAGGTTTAAACGGAGATGCTATTGAAAATGTCTGCTTGTCAACCGGTCAGATGGGAGTTGGCGATCTTCTTGCTTAAGGCCCGTTTACATACAACTTTGGCGTTGCGTTGGCGTTGGCGTCGCTTCGACAGCTGACTATGAATACATGCATTTATATGAAAGTCTCCATATAACCAAAGTTGGGCAACGCCAACGCCAACACAACGCAGAAAGATGGCCAACTCTCAACTTTTCGCGTGCGTCGTTCGTCAGCTGTTCTAAATAATCAAAATTATGTGATTTAATTTTCATTTTTAATCAAATCCGGGCAAGAAATATAGTTTTTAATGCAATTATTGATGTAATTTTTTTATTTATCTGCCGCTAGTGTGTTAATTTAGTAACCAAAGTATTCTCTGCTACGCGTTCATTGTAGCAAGCACGGGCGTTACTCGCGCTGCTGTCAAAGCGACGCCAGCGCCAACGCAACGCCAAAGTTGTATGTGGACGGGCCTTTAACGCTGCAGCTTCAACGATCTGTGGCATGCTTTGTTCGTTTTCATACAATTCATCTTATCTGTCAAAGCGAATCTGTCATGTAAAGCGAAGCAAAAGTTTTATGTGGCATCAGCTTACCCAAGTCGAATTTATATAAGGTGGTGTTACTAGCTCAGCTGATTTTGTGTATGTGTTTCGCCGCACGGCTTCCGATATCAAATTGAAAAATTTTGCTTGAATTTCTACACATACTCTTACAGATTTTGACAGTTTATGCCGCCAAAGCAAAAACAAAATACATGTAAATTTTTGTTTTTGTTCTCCTGCTATCACCTTATATTAATTCGCCTTGAGCTTACCCCTTCTGACGGCGCCATTACCGATATACTTCGATTTTATTCGATCTATCGAATAACAGACGACGTTTCTCTTGCATCGTATTTTTCCATTTCTAATAACATTAGT